AGGATGAAAGCAAGAAAGGGTTGGACAGAGGTCAAAGGTCAGGAGGCACAGCCGAAAAGGACACTTTCTCTCTTTGTGGGGGAAGTAGACTAACTCTGCAATTCTCATAAACCGAGTGTTCGATTTCCAGAGATGCATTCAAATCCCAGCACATGCATTACTAGAGCTTCTTCAGCACCATCCTTTATCTGTCTGGAACACCAGGGTTAAACTCAACATAGACGGAGGTGGTGGGGGGAAGCGTCTCCTGCTAAACCCTTTGAGCGGATGACGGTCATGTGGGTTTTTTTACTTTCTGAGGGCGTAAGAAAGAGCGATTGGAGTCTGACGCATGACAGATGGGTAAGAGTCATCTTTAGTTGCATCAAACGTTGGCGAGCCATTGAAGTCATCTGAATGAGATGCTAGCTGTTAGCGGCCTGACAGTTTTGCACTTGGACAATGTAAGCAGCGCTTTGTAAGAAAGAGCCAGTGTGTTTTGTAGAGTGTGTCTGCGGTGTCGTCGCATCAGAATAGAGTGTGTCGTTGTGTGCGTACCATGAAAGTGGAGCTCTTAAAGGCACGTTTAAAAAGGGACGCCCACTCTTTGTGGACACTTTTCAGCCTGGCGTATTGAGAGCCTTTGTCCCCACCTTTCATCTGGACGCACAATGGACGGGCCCGTTTTAAACACAACGCTAGATGAACTGCACTGACAGTGTATTAAACGCGGATGAATTGCCAGTGCATGGCATAGATCAATGTCCTCCAACCTTTCACATACGCAGGGCTCCGCTTCTTGTTCCTGTGAAACAGAGCGAGCCGCTTTCAGAGGCGCTAATTATATTCATGTTTTGATGGAGGAGAAGCTGCACATTTAAAATGTGCAAATTGTCCTCATTTTTAGACAACATGATTGACTGATGGACTGAAGTCGGTCTGGTTTGAATGGAAGTTTGTTTTGGTTGGAATTAAAGTAAGAGTTGTAGTTTTTTCAGTCTTGAAATGTGCATATGTAAATGATCATGTGTCTGGAGTAATGTAAATGCTTAAGTAATTAACATTGTTTTTGTTTTTTGAGCCAGAACAACACTATAGCACCAATGCATAAGCAAACACCCCTCCAATTTTCACCTGAAATAAAAAAGAGGGCAGAAATTGTTTTTTTTGCTTCTAAGAAAAAAACAAAAAACACTTCACCCTTTATCCTTTTGTATTATTATTATTTTAACACCAACATAGCCCCTCTGAATTATCAGCCCCCCTGTTTATTTCTGTTTATACAACAGTTCTGTCTGGTTCTCGAATCTGATTGGCTGATAGCCGTGATATATTTAAGTAATATCAGCACACGTAAAGCCTCTTTACCCTTTGTGTATTACTCCGCCCACATACAGCCAGCAAAAAGCAGACACTACAGATCTACTGTTTAAAAGATGCACGCTCAACTGTTTAACTGTCAGCTTATGATTTGAATCCAATGTGGGAAAAAGTAGTTCCACATACAAAAGGGTTTTGAGACTCTCCATGTTTGATTTTGTTTTTATATACACAATTATGCCGTCAAACTGTTGTATAAACACAATATAACACTCGTAGCAGTGTGATATGGCTGTATATCAGCACTGGTGGGGGCACTAACGCACGCCTCCCACCAGTGCCGATATAAGCCCCTTTCACACATACAGACCTTTCCGGAAAATTACCGGCAATTTTCCGGAAAGGTTGTATGTGTGAACAGGTCCTTTTTGAAAATACCGGTAAATTCGTTCTGGCTATTTTCCGGAAAGAGAAGTTGTAACATTACCGGCAATTTGCCGGAATGCTGCGCTGTGTGAACGCAGAAGGAAGATTTCCGGAATAAGCTCGTGCACGTCTAGAACGTGCTGACGTGAGACGTCTGCTTTAGCCAATCACAACAGTCAGACGCATTTACGTCCGCGCGGTTTGTGAGAATAAAAGCCTTTGAATATTTTTCCAGACACATTTAGCTGCTAGAAGTTAGTCAGATCACGTTTATATGTTCTTCTTAATGCCAACTGTGCAAATAGTCATCGATAAGATGCTTATGATAAGCCGTTGTTTGTTTACCTTCAAGCTTTGCGTGTGCCCATGAAACAGCCTGTGAGCGTCAGCACACGCACATATTATGAACATCTCGACATGCGAATATGATCCAGTGAAAGTTGTTTACAATATTGATCATCCACAGAGTTTGTAATTTAGTCAAATGTTTACAAATACAAGCGCAGCCGTTTAAAGCTCATTTGTGGTGAATGATGTCAGAATTTACCGGTATTTTGGAATGGATGTGTGAATGCTCTTTTCCGGAAAATTTCCGTAACGTCCTCGCCTGTGTGAACAGCGCTTTTTTGAATATACCGGTAAAGTCGTTCCGGAAATTTTCCGGATATTTACCGGTATCACTGTGTGAAAGGGGCTATTGTCATATCTTACTGCGACTCGTGTGATATTGCTCATTTACGGAGAGCAGATTTTTTAAACTAAACAAAATAGTTTTAATAACTCATTTCTAATAACTGATTTATTTTATCTTTGCCATGATGACAGTTAATAATATTTGTCTAGATATTTTTTAAAACACTTCCATAAAGCTTAAAGTGACATTTAAAGGCTTAACTAGGTTAATTAGGTTAACTTGGCAGGTTAGGGGTTCTCAACCTTTTTCACTTCGAGGCCCACCTTTTTTCCGAAAGATTTTTGTAGGCCCAAACTGATTGTCTAGAGATAATGCTTATTTTAAAGCTTTATTTATTAGCAAAACATTTATTTTGCCTTCCATTATTTTTTTTATTTTTTTATTTTTTTTTTTAAAGGTAATGATTCGCACTCAAGTAATTGCTTCGTACTGTTTTTTATTTTTTATTTTTCTTACATTCAACGAGTGATTAAAAGACACAGACGTTTCGGCACAATCTGCGACAGTCTGTTTCTTTTAATCACCCGTAGAATGTAAGAAAAAAATTACTTGAGTGCGAATCATTACCTTCTTTGAATAATAGCATTGACAAGATTGATGCAACAAACCAAAGAAGTTTCTAAAAAATCGCAAGCGCGATGGGCAAACATCAGCAACTCTACATTTTTTTTTTATTAAAAACCTGAAAGATTATGCATGTTTATATTTCTAATAATAATATATTTTAATATTTTTTAATAACACTGCATAGTGTTTGTGGTGACCTCGGATAGGTAGGGGGACTAAACCGAAAAGAAAATGAATCAATGAATATATTGTATTATTATTTCTATCAGCATTTTACAAAAAATATTTTTATTTAAATTTAATTAAATAAAAAACAAACTATGTTATATAATTTTATTTATTTATTTATGTTATTTTAAACAAAGGGATTTAAAGAGTACCATAGGTCCACCGGGATATTGCAAAAGAGCAGCTTCTGCTTTAAAGTGGCTGACTGAGTATCTACTATTAAATATGTACAATTGAAAAATATACAGACAAATGTAAAATACAGTAAAACACTCTAAATCTGCGGTTGAGTTTGCAGCTGGATATTATTGGGAGGTCGCTGACAGACAGTGAACTGCTCGGTCAGAGAGCGATAGTCTGAAGCTATGCAAGTTTATATTTCAGTCTTTGGCAGAAACACTATGCGTTGAGCCTTGCTAGATTCTCCTGTATGGGCCCACATCCGTTAAAAAATGCTTACAGGACATTAATTTGGACAACTATGCGGATATATGAAATAGTTCACACAAAAACACACAAATAGAAACTTTCAGTATATGCATAGTTTGTGAATGAACAGACTGCGCTTACTAGTTGCAGATGCGATCATGAGGCTGTGCCGAGTTTGACGTAATCAACCAGAGAACAGGAGGAAGTGCATAACTTCAATCATTTTAATACAGCATATTAATATGAGATCCAAAAATTATAGTATAATATTGAGAGTTCATTTTAATCTTGCAGCCCACCTGCAAGATCGCTGAAGCCCACTAGTAGTCCACCGGTTGAGAATCTCACTGTTAGACAACACTGCTGAAGTAAAAGTTCTCTAGACTGTCTTGAAAGTGTCCGACAGGTAGATAAACATACTCAAGATGTCTGCGGAGGAGATGTGTGGCCTACCCCTGACCTGTTCATGACCTCTCGTCTCTGATGGCAGCTCAAAGCAGCCTGTTTATACAGATCACAGCTTTAGCCACTTAACTAGAACAACAGGGACCTCGCCGTCAGCTAAGAGCCAGTTTCCCATGAGGACGCACTCGCTGCCACACACAAGCCCGTCAACCTGTCTGCGCGTTGTGTGGATAGCGAAATATTGGTCTTTGCACAATTGTCATAATTTCTTTAATTATTCAAATGATGGCTTTAAAGGGAGTTTAAAAACATACCGTAATGTTTCAGTTTCTTCTTTATTGTGTGTGTGTGTTTGTGTAAGTCTTAGCGGTAGCTGATTTTAACATAGAGTTGCAGTCCAAATATTTATTCCCTAATTTCTGTTCAACAGACAGAAGATTTCAACACATTTCTAAACATAATAGTTTTAATAACTGATTTCTTTTGTCTTTGCCATGATGATAGCACATAATATTTGACTAGATATTTTTCAAAATGCTAGTATTCAGCTAAAAGTGACATTTAAAGGCTTAACTAGGTTAATTAGGTTAGTTACAGTGGTTGGTTCTGTAGACAATAAAAGCAAATATTGCTTAAGGAGGCTTATAATATTGACTTTAAAATGGTTTAAAAAATTAAAAACTGCTTTTATTCTAGCTGAAATAAAACAAATACAACTTTCTCCAGACGAAAAAATATGATGGGAAATACTGTGTAAAATTCCTGGCTCTATTCAACATTATTTGGGAAATATTTTGAAACCAAATAATAATGATTTTGACTTTAACTGTAGACTTTCTTTGCTGTATTTTTATCATGTTACTTTTATAGCACTTTGAGATTTTACTTAAAATGTAAAGTGCTTTATAAATCAAATGTGTTTATTATTCCTGTTGTCTTATTTTTTTATTAGGTCTGGTTTAGCAACAGAAGAGCAAGGTGGCGCAAACAAGCCGGAGCGAATCAGCTGGCAGCTTTCAACCACTTGTTGCCTGGAGGGTTTCCACCCACCGGAATGCCAACTTTACCCACCTATCAGCTTCCAGAGTCAACGTATCCCAGCACCACTCTCTCACAAGGTAATGTCTAATAATCAATTCACTTTTATAGTAACAAATCAACTTTTATACAATTTTCTGTTTTTGCAAGGACAAAATCGACTAAATAATTGTTGAAAATGTTCCCAAATTTATTTTAAAGGAATTTTATATTTCTTTTGGGGTTTATAGTCATAAAATAATCCTGAAAAACAAGAAATGTTTCTTGATCATTAAATCAGTTATGATTTCTGAAGGATCATCTGACAGTGAAGACTGGAGTAATGATGGCTTTGCAGGAATATAATATAATATAATATAATATAATATAATATAATATAATATAATATAATATAATATAATAAATATAATATAATATAACATAATATAATATAATATAATATAATATAATATAATATAATATAATATAATATAATATAATATAATAAATATAATATAATATAATATAATATAATATAATATAATATAATATAATATAACATACAGTTTAACAAAGTGACTTATTGACATTTTAGAAGTTTTAAAAATAAATATTATATAGAGAAATAAGTAAAATAAAAGCAAATGTATTACAAGGTTTTGTAGAGTAATATATAACACCAAATCCAGACAATAGAGCTCTGCAAACTTTAAAAATTGTTCATAAAAGTGAAATTTTCCAACTTTTCATGTGTAAAAGCTGTCTGAAGAAAGATCAAAGTCCCATGATGCAATTCAAAAGCACAAATAAATGAGAACAATAAAAACACAAAACACAAAATTCGAAATACTGCTTATTTACAGTGTAGTACAAGTAGTAATCTAGTGGATTAAACATGAAACAATTGAATTATCCCTAAAAATCTCAAGAATTGTGTTGTTTCAACTCATTTTAGATAAGTAGTTTGAACTAGCAGTAAATTGAGTGTATACTTATGATATTAAATGCTTCATATTTGAAATTACCACCCCTTTAAAATGTAAGTAACAAAAACAATTGTTGTCATTACTTTTTGCCATATCATTTTTACAATATGGCCAATATGGCATCACTACAGTATATTCTACTTCTTATTCAACTCTACAGTTTAAAAGTGACTTATTGACATTTTAGAAGTTTTAAAAAGAAATAATATATAGAGAAATAAGTCTGTAAAATAACAGCAAATGGTGTACAAGGTTTTTGTAGGGTAATATACAACACCAAATCCAGACAATAGGGCACTGCAAACTTTTAAAATTGTTCATAAAAGTCTAATTTTCCAACTTTTCATGTATAAAAGCTGTCGGAAGAAAGATCAAAGTCCCATGATGCAATTCAAAAGCAAAATAAATGAAAACGATAAAAGCACGAAACGCAAAGTTCAAAAAACTGTTTATTTACAGTGTAGTACAAGTAGTAATCTAGTGGATTGAACATGAAACAATTAAGTTGTCCCTAAAAATCTCAAGAACTGTGTTGTTTCGGCTCATTCTAGATAAGTAGTTTGAACTAGCAGTAAATTAAGTGTATGCTCATGATATTAAATGCCGTATTTTGTGTATGTGTTTGTGTGTCAGACGGCAGCAGTACGTTGCATCGGCCGCAGCCTCTTCCTCCCTCCTCCATGCATCAGGGCGGACTCTCGGCTGACAGCGGCTCCGCCTACGGCCTCTCCTCCAACCGCCACACCTTCTCCAGCTATTCAGAAACCTTCATGAGCCCGACCGCTTCCAGCAACCACATGAATCCTGTGAGCAACGGCCTCTCGCCACAGGTTAGTGCCGCGGAGGCCTCTTTCCAATGAAAGAATGATGAAAAGACGCTGAATGAACAACAGCACGCTTCACAGATCAAGAGCACTGGAGAATTAAGCTAGCAGCAGCTTCTACACTATAAAAAATGCTGGGTTTATACAAATTCCTGCATGTTGTCCCAACACAAATCCGTTAAGTTACCTTAAATGGTATCACAAATTTAAGTGTATTAAACATAAAACAATTAAGTTTGGAAAATATTGTAGTTTATTGATGTTACTTTTGGAAAAGCCAGCTAGTAAGGCATTGCACTAGTTTAAGCGGGTAAAAAATGAAAGTATTGATTAGTTTTTCTGGCACAGAAAAAGACAGCATGAGGCAGATTAGTGAAATGTTTTTGAAATGAAAAAATCTCTGTGGACTTTGAAAAGTCTTTACAGTCGACAGCATGTGGTGATAAAATGTAAAAAATTTCTGTCAAATATTACCCCTAAGTTCTTTAGTTTGGCCTGGACCTCCACCGCAGAGCCATCTAGGTTAATGTTTGGAGGTTTAGTTTTACTTAGTTGATTGGAAGAACCAATCAACATCTGTCTTGATGAACCTCTGTCTTTTTCGTGTTCAAGCACAGAAGATTTTGGGACATCCATTTTTTATCTCTAAAAAACAATGTTCCAAATGTGTAACAGCGGACAGATCACCAGGTTTGGTGTGAATGTAAATCTGCGTGTCATCAGCGTACTTTAAACCTTGGCATCCCAGGAGATGACCAAGAGGTGTAATGTACATGGAAAAAAGTAGGGGGCTTAAAATCGATCCTTGGGGTATACCCAATTTGACTGGACCGGTGTTAGATTTAAGCCCTCCCTTTAAGTTGAAGAGCTCCTCTATTTTAATAAGAAAGAAAAAAAAACAAGTTCTGAATAAGCCAGGTCATAAAAAGTAATGCAAAAAAGCAACTTAAGTAATGCATTACTTACCATAAAAAGTAGTGCAACTACTTTCACTTTCAAAAGTAACTTTCCCCAACTCTGAATATTAGCAACCATTGTTTTTTATGCTTTTGAATTGTGTTAGGTGATCTTATGATGTTAAAACCTTGGGAAAAAGTGACTTTTATTGATCTTTTTTTTATTGTTTGAAGTGACAAATTGTCTGAGAAGATGTACATTATTGTACAAAAATCTGATAATAAACTCTCAGTTATTTATTTATTTATTTTTTTGCTGTATGACTTTATTCTATATATATATATATATATATATATATATATATATATAATTTCCTATAATAATATTTTGTATAGCACCTTTAAAAACTACTTTTTCAAAGTGCTAAAAGACACAATATATTGTTATAGACTACTAAAATGTCAATAAAAGTCACTTTCAAAGACTTCAAAATTGAGTTTTCAACATCAGAGCAGAGATCAATATCCCATAATGGAATTCATCACCGTAAATAAACAGAAAACATCTGTAAATCACACACACAAAATATTTTTTTTACAGATTAGGCTTTTTTATGGCACCCAAATTAAACCTAAAATTTAAGTTAACATAAAAAAATTCCCAAATTTGGAGCACTTGCTTTATGGATAAAATTTTTGTTACAGTCATTTCTAAAATAATAATAAAATAAATCAGCATCACATGGTTTTATTGAAGTGAATAAAACTAAAACAAACATTTATTTTACTTAATTCTTGATCTCATATTATTACATTATTTCATTTTGTTAAGATTTTGTTTGATTTTAATCCATCTGGAATGGATTGGATGATCAAATGTGTCCTGCAAATAATTTTTTTCTTGCTTTTGTCTTGCTTTCCATTAACATATCGAAAAATCTGTATTTGCTTCAGGAGAAACACTAATTTAGGATATGAAGTCAAGATTTTATTTTGGCTTTTTGGATATTTGCACCTATTTAAGCTCAAAATCACTTCATTTTGATATTTTTTGTCATAAAAAAGACATTTTGCTTAAATGTTTTGATATTTGTAACTGAAATAAAGAGGAGAAAGAATATTAGGTAACACTTTATTTTGATGGTCCATTTGAGTATTAGTTGACTGTCTGCTTAATATCTGCTGATACTGCTCCTTCAACAAACATTTCACTGACTATAAGAAACTTTGCAAGTACATGTCAACTTACACTAACCCCAACCTAACAGTCTATTTATAATCTCATGAGACTAAGTTGGCATGTAGATGCAATGTAACTTAAATTCAGCAAACTGATCATCAAAATAAAGCGTGACCAAACATTATACTTAGCCATGTCAATAACAATTTTCTGTAGCTATTGGATAACGTTATGCAAAAGCCTGACATTATAAAAAGGAAGTAAATGCAGTGGTGTATGTGCTGAATTCACAAAATATACTTCTAATATTTTCTTTCAAGAAGAAATACTTGCTGATTGTGTGAGTTTTAAGCTGTTTGCATGTTGAGTAAAGCATGAATACGTATTTTAGTAAGCAAGGTGCTTTGTTTATGTGGATCTCTTGATGTTCATAACTACGATTGGTGATTTTAGTTGTATTTTTCATTGTGTCCCCGACAATAAGCATTCAGGGTGACTTTCTCCAGAAATAAATACCCAGCATTACAAAAATAATGCGTATTGATGCAAATCACTTGTAAGGAGTGAATTAAACACAATTATCCATCAATACTGGGCAGTCTTGCCGACCCTCACCAACAAGATGTGGCTAACAAGCATAAAATAAGATTGAAATGGTGTGTAAAGAGTTGAAAATGAATTTCAATGCTGCATTTGTCCACAATTACCCTTTCGTTCACACATGTTTTATTGGGGGTTTCCTTTTCTCTCCCCTGCTCTCTCAAAGCAGATTGAGAAACATTCTTCTGTATTACCCTCTTTTTTTTCCCAGAGAAGAAAGAATTAAGGATTTGGTGACAAAAAAGAGCTTTTCCCCTCGTAACTACAACGTCGGAAGGATAACATGGGCGTCTTACAGTGAGAGAGATTGTTAATCGTGGCACAGGGGCTTTGAGCACTAATGCCTTCGCTCCAAACCTCTGTAAATACCAGCAGACATGGAGGTCTTTTTTTTCTATTAATGGGAGCGTTTAACTCTGGTGACGGAGACGCTTGCCTCTTGTTTCCCTCTCAGCTGTGCTAAAGCACTTACTCTCAAATGAACAGTTACTGTTTCCCGCAGATCTGTAGAAATGCTGTATTTCTCTATATTACTACTCAATGGTAATTTATGAATATATATATATATATATATATATATATATATATATATATATATATATATATATTTATTTTAAAAGGACATCAATGTGTGGATTTGCATTTTTTGATTTGCATTTTTGACATGTTTTTTTATTGGCATAAATGTCTACATATATATATATATATATATATATATATATATATATATATATATATATATATATATATATATATATATATATATATAAATTATTAATCCTCCTGTGAATCTTTTATCAAATATTTCCCAAATGATGTTTAATAGAGCAAGGAATTTCTCACAGTATTTCCTATAATATTGTTTCTTCTGGAGAGAGTCTGATTTTTTTTTTTTTTATTTCGGCTAGAATAAAAGATGATTATATTATAATACATTTTGTGTCTTTATTTTGGTGGTCAAAAGTGCATCAACGTGTGGATGTCAAATAGACATCAAAGTTTTGACCCTCAAAATCGATTCACTTTTTTGACATGGTTTTTTCACATCATTGTCAATTTGATGTCATTTGGGCATCAAGGTATTTACTAGTGATACAAAATCCAGTGTAAATTTGTAGTTGAAGCTTTCAGATTATTATATTTTTTATATATTTTGTGTTGTTATTTTGTGGGTTAAAATTGCATCAATGTGTGGATGTCAAATATATGTCAAGGTTTTGACCTCCAATTGGTTAGCATTTTTGACCAGTTTTTTCATAGAAGTGTAAACTTGATGTCATTTGGACATCAAGGTATTTTGTAGTGATACAAAATCCAGTGTAAATGTGTAATTTGTAATTGAAGCTTTCAGAAGATTATATATATATATATATATATATATATATATATATATATATATATATATATATATATATATATATATATATATATGTTTTTTTTTTGTCGTTATTTTGGTGGTCAAAAAGGTCAATATATATGTATGTATGTATGTATGTATATATATATATATATATATATATATTTTTTTTTTTTTTTTTTTTCGTTATTTTGGTGGTCAAAAAGGTCAATATATATGTATGTATGTATGTATGTATGTATGTATATATATATATATATATATATATATATTTTTTTTTTTTTTTTTGTCGTTATTTTGGTGGTAAAAAGGGCATCAAGTGTGGATGTCAAATAGATGTCAAGGTTTTTTCACATCAAATCAGCATTTTTGACCTGTTTTTTGACATTAGTGCCAAGGTGTTTACTAGTGATACAAAACCCAGTGTAAATTTGTAATTTGTAATTGAAGCTTTCAGATTATTGTTATAATACGTTTTGTGTTGTTATTTGGGTGGTCAAAAGGGCATCAGTGTGTGGATGTCAAATAGACGTCAAGGTTTTGACCTTAAATCAATATGCATTTTTGATGCTTTTTTGCATCAATGTCAATTTGATTTCCATTTGACATCAAGGTATTTACTAGTGATACAAAATCCTGTGTAAATGTTTCACTTGTAATTGAAGCTTTCAGATGATTATAGTATAATACATTTTGTGTCTTTATTTTGGTGGTCAAAAGTGCATCAACGTGTAGATGTCAAATAGACGTCCAAGTTTTGACCCTCAAAATCGATTCGCTTTTTTGACATGGTTTTTCGGCATCAGTGTCAATTTGATGTCATTTGGACATCAAGGTATTTTAAAGTGATACAAAATCCAGTATAAATTTGGAATTAGGAATTGAAGTTTTCAGATGACTAATATTTTGTGTGGTTAAAAGGGCATCAATGTGTGGATGTCAAATAGACGTCAAGGCTTTGACCCTCAAAATC